GGGTGTGGCCCTTGAGGGCAGCACCAGCCATAGCAGTAGCAGCAGGAGTGAGCCAGGTAGCCACAGGCTAAGTGGCCGTTTGCTGTGGTGGACATGGTGTAAGTGAGAGAAAGGTGAGCTGAGCCCTTACTCATTTCCTGTCACCAGTGACAATGTCTACTGGGGTCCCATTCTGTGGCTGACTGCACCCATTGCTGGCCATGCCCCAGAGCTCCCTGGCCCACCAGTAGCTCGGTGGGCTGGATGGAATGGCTCCACAGGCCATATGTTTGACACCGCTGTTGCAAGGTATTATTGAGGACCTGCCATGAAGTGCTAAGCTATTGCTCCCACTGATTTGAGTCGGGGTTAAGAATACTGGGCACCTTGTAGGAGCAAGAGTGGAGACTTTTGCCTGCCCTACTTAAAAGTTAAAAAGCTCAGGTCACTGGAAGTTACTGGAAGTTGTTTCAGTGCCCTTGGGCAGAATTTACCCCCCTATTTGGCCATGTGCTGTACAGCACACTCCACCTCAAGGAAAACTGCAGCTCATTCTGTTATGTGTGTGTTACGTGTAACAGGCACGCATTCTGCATTTTACAGTTTGTTATATAGTTATTCACTGGTGCAAAGTGGGTGCAAGTTTGTTACATGTGTTACATTTCACATCTGCTTTGCCTTTGTAAAACCAGGTACACAAGGTGTAGGGCAACTGAGTATCTGACTCTCAGGTTATAATTTGGACTCCTCTAGGATGAAAGGAGTTGTAGATATGAAAAATATTTCATTAAGATTGCAGAAGATAAGATCGCAATACAAAGCTTATATTAGATTAAGTCAGCTCCATGTATATCTTGAAGACTTCACTAATAAATTCATGTAAGTTTTTTGCATTACGTCCTGTGAGCAAAAATAAAAATATTAATATTTTGATGAATAAAAGGATGAGTATTAGATAAGACAGTATATAATGAAATGTAATATATGATCCTACTTGCCCAGCCCCCCAATACAATCACATGGAGGAGAGCCAAGATTGGCCATGACTAGGCAGTTTTTTGGTTTTGATTAATGTAGACTTGCTCCAGAATTTTCAAACATAAGTGGCTAAAGTGGACTCCAAAATGTGTATGTGTATTCACGCACCTAAGTAGATCTTTGCCTGGTTTTCAGAGGTACAGAGCATCTGCTGGTACTTAAGTAACAGGAGCTTGTTACTGGCTGTCATGGCATGGCAGTAGTACCTCAAGCCTCTGAAGTATTTTGTAATGCAACAACTTGCTTCCTTGTCCCCAGCATGCACTCCCGTCTTCAGCCTTCCTTCTGACATGATCCCTATGCTATGCTCTCCCTATGAAGTTTAGGAGAGTCCTTAGAAAACAATTTATGCTTGCTTATTCTTTGTGAGGGCAGTTCCTAGGCCTTCAAGATTTGGATGTTGTCTGTCTGTTACTTGGCATAACAGAGAGGGTCGGTGCAGCAGTGAACATACACTTTAAATTGAGCTGAGCACCCCTTTTATATCATCATGTGAGCAACTCATAGATTAGCCGTGGCAGGCTGCTTGTCAACCCTGGAGGTTGTAGATAGGTCACACTGCTTCAGGAGTCTTTAGAAGCAACATATTTGAATGCTAATTTTCTTTATAATCTACTTTTATAGGAGGAAGGGAAAGAAGCCCTTTTAAGCAGCTTGTAAATTTGCATTTGTCTCAGGATAGCAATATCGTAAAGTAACAAAAAGTGATAGAATTACTGGAGTAGAAACCTATCTTTGTATGCTATTTTTTATTGGAACAAACAAAACTTTCTAGCCATGACTTGCAGAACTTAACAATTGAGAGACTTCATGCTTTTATAAATGTAGGTTTCCAAAAGTGTCTGGTTACAAAATCACAGGAGGAGGAAATGTGTTCTGTCCAGTCATTAATGGTGTTTAAACAGAAATATTACTCCCCCAGTCCAGTCAAGCTGAGATTCCCTGTGGAGATGATATACTGGAATTTGGTTCTTGTAACATGTCCAAAGAAGCTGATTCAGAGAACAGCATTTATATTGGCTTTCTTTATTCCCAGTGAATAGGTCATTGATACATATATGGTTCAACAGCTCAGTGGTCTCTTATGTAGCTATACAGGGTGTTGGTAAGACCCCCCCCTCTTAAAATGTTGTCTGCATTTCAAATCACCAGTGATCAAAAGAGAATAACATAAACAACGATCACTAAGTTGGTTAAAGGAATTAGCCTTCATCTTACAAAATGAGACTTAGAGAGCTTCATTCATTCAGCTTTGGAAGAAGTGTTTATTAGTGCAGTGAATATTAAAGGGAGAAAGGAGCTTTTTAGGCTAAAAAACAATATGAGCACAAGAGCCAATTGCTACAATCTGGTTATTGGAAATTAAAGATTTATAACTATCAGGCATACTTGGTTTTCAAACAAAATAGGAGGAGGAGAAGGAGCTGATCACATTTGTTAAGTTTATCATAGAAATGCTGTGACAGGATAGGGAGTTCTTGGTTTAGCAATCAGCACATGTGAAATTGGTAATCTAGTATTTGCAATCCCTATGTTTGGATATAAAGGTATTGTAGATGTCTAGTGCATTATTGTAGATGCCTGGTAATTGCATGCTTCAGGGCTTTTGCTAGTTTCCTACAGGGGCCAGGAAGGAATGTTTTCCCCTTATATGAATGCTGTTGGTTGCAGGAAGGTTTTTTGCCTTCTTCTGAAACACTGGGATGTTGGCTACTGTTAGGCTGGGGGGTTTTGAGTGAAATGCACTAATGTTCTTACCTGTACTTTACAATTCAGAGATCCCTGATTAGAAGATCTTGCTTTACCACATGGGGTCAAACTGATCACCAGATTTGAGGTCAGGAAGAAATTTGTGTCTCAGGTCAAATTAGCCAGGACTCTGGTTGGGGGCGGGGGGAGGGAAGGTTTGCATTCCTCTATAGTGTGGGACATGATTCTTCACCAAGGTCCTTTGAGTATTAACCAGTTCTGTGTCATTGCAGTGGCAAGATATTTGGCATTCCTCCTTCCCCATTTTACCTATGGCATGTTACATGGAGGTCTTGATGTTTGGGGTGTCATGCCAAGTAGCTGTGTTTCTAGGTTTGGAGTGGTGATTACTGGGAAACCTTTGACTGATGGTTGCCTCTAAATACAAGGCCACTGTACTCAGGGGCCCACAAGGCCCCTTCCAGTCCTGTTCTTATGATTCCTTTTCTTTGCAACTGTGACACTGGGGGGTGGGGGGAGCGGACTTTTTATTCCTTGGTATAACAATGATGCTGTATCACAACCTGATGCAAGAATATTTTTCTGTGACTTCATAACTTTTCAGTGATGAAACAAATCTCCAGCTGTTTAACGCTCTGGGGTGATGGGCATTAAATACAAATGTAAAACAAAGATCCTTCCAGAATGGAACTGGAAGACAACTAGAAATTTCTGTCAGAACTGCTCTTCACAACAGGCTGAGTATCAGTGGGCACATCTACATGTGCAGTTATCCGGCAGAAATAATCTACAGGGCAGTTCGCACCAGAGTTTATTTCTCGCAGGTGCAGCGTTTACACATGTGCCCAGGACCACAGCACGTTGAGCCAGGGCAGCACAACCCCGGCTGGCTGAGGGACTGGAGGGTCAGCCTGCCAGCCTGGACCTACTCCACCCCAGCTCATCGTGCTGCAGAGGGGCTGGGGGGGGGGGACAAGTCAGCAGGAAGCACCCTGTAGCACCCTTATACCCCAGCCAACCCGGGTCACCGTCTACAGGTGCACTATGGCAGAGTAAATAACTTCACCGTAGGATGATACTTGTGTTGGGCAGTACTAATCTATGGTGGAGTTACTAAGTTTACTCTGACCTAATAGCATTGCTTGTGTAGACAGTGACACTGTATTGCAGAGCTAATTAGTCAATTCCACAGTAAAGCACAGGTGTAGATGCCCCCAGTGTGAGAGAGCTAGCTTACAACATGATGGCAGGAAACATTTACTTGTATTTGCAGAGCCAAGCAAAAATAATGTTACTGCTTAAAGTATATGTACTTTTCCCCCTTTCATTCACTAACAATATAATGATGCAGGTAAATGAACTATGCCTTTGTTTATATGTGCAATAAGCAAGGTTCTCTATACAATTATCTTTTCAATTTTAGTTCACTTTACTAGTATATTGCCATTTACTTGAAAACATTAACAAGCTGCTCATGCAGTAATTACGTACATAGGACTGCTTTGGATTCTCTAATCACCAAATCATGTGTTTTATTAATGGACTGTGTTTCTATAAAAAGCATCTGTGTGTATGTCTTCTATTTTTACTCTGAGATGGATTTTCCTCAGATATGGGGTAAGTGGTTTATTTCTGAAGTACTCTTAGCTCTTAGATGTTAATGTATATGCTGGATTTTAAAGTTAAAGTAGTATTTTCCATACTCTGAGACCATGAGCCCATTCAGACATGATGACATTCCTGATTTCCAGAACTGTGTTCTGCCCTAACTTGCAATCAACATAAGAGGGTGACAGAGGGATCATTTGGCTACTTTTCTGGCCATGATCTGTAGTCTATTAATGAATCCGACTTAGAATCAGACTGAATTGAAAAATACTTATTTCACTGTTTTCTGAGCAGTATATATTGCACTTGTTCTCTTAGAGGAGAAATGTAGCAGGCTGAGGAATTGCTTGCTCAAACGATCTTTGTTTACTGTCTTTGTTTCCCTGGGGCAAACTGCCTTCCCATAGGAATCAACCTAGACAATCAGCAAAACAAATACACAAATAGCCCAGGGTCTTTTCCCAGACCTGGAGAGAGTGCTCAGGTTCAGTGTGCAGCCACTAGCCAACGCTCCTCCTTCTCTCTCTCTCTAGTTCTTCCAGCAAACTCAGTCTCTCAGCTTCCCTCATGGTCTTTTCTGTAAACCCCGAGAGTGAGGCAATCACTGGCATGAGTTGACCTGCCTGCTCTCTCTTCCCAGCTCCATGTGTTCTCTGACCCAAGGAGAGTACTCTGGCTCAGGCTTCTGCCTCCAGCCCCACAGCCTTCCTGTCTCCGCCCTTGGTCTCTCTCTGGGAACTTTTTAAATGTCACGGGGCCAGCCTGTTATCATCATCATCTGGCCCAGTCCATCAAGGCAGGCTTGTAATCACCCTCTCTCTTCAAGGGCTCCAGTCCTTGAAGTATGCAGCCTGCTGCAAGCCTGTTTCCAGTTTGTTTCAAGTTACAGTTTCAGGTGTTGGCTTTAACCTGTAAAAACCACAGAATGGTTTAGGTTGTACTTGGAGACTGCTTCTCTCCCAGTGTGATACCACAAGAGCTGAGATTAACTGTTACTCAAGATAACAGCCCTGTGGTTTAGGCAGAATCTAGTAAATGCCTGCAGGGAAGGTTCCTCAAATGTAGAACTTCCCTGATTGACTCATCAGAGCCATTCTTTGTTGATTCTTAGATCACATTGTAGAACACATTGGTTTTTTTTAAAGCTTTTTTTTGGATGGTGGAAGAATCCTTGTGTAAATGGGATTAGGACTAGAGTGAAATCTGCTTAATTGGTTACTGGTTTTATTAGTTGGTTCATTGAGTCCCCATTAGAGTCCTGTTGATTTGTACACAAAATGCTTTGACTCAGTGGTGATTCATTTTTCGGCCCTGCAGGCCAGATGAGGGGTGCAGAGTTTGTCTGCAGGTCCAATGAGGACCCCCTGCCAGCCTTCTCCCAGCCTGCATGCATGGATCAGACCTCATGTGGCCTTGGCTGGTCCCCCATTCATGGATCAGGCCCTGGGACCCCACACTTCCTCTACCTGGTTCCCATATCCCAGGATCAGGCCACATACACCAGTTCTGCCTGGCTCCTGTGTACTAGGACTGGGCCATAGGGCCCCGCACCACCTCTGCCTCTGGCCCCTGCATGCTGGGATCAGATCTTGGGCCCCTGCACTGCCGTATGTGCTGCGATCTGGCGACAAAGACCCAACCACCTGCGCCCAGCCCACCTGATCCAGTGTACAAGGCCATGCTGTCCAGCGCAGCGGGTTCCCCTTGGATAAGGAATTTTGCCAGCAGTGAAGCGGTGCTACTGCTCCCCCAGCAACAAATGTTTGGACCTGTGGGAAGCTCCCCACAGTCTGGATGGCATGGCACAAGGGGCCAGATCTGCCTAGGGGCTGGGGGTTGAGCACCTCTGCTTTGGCTGATTTGTCATTTGTTAAAGCATAATTAGTCCTTTCCAAATGTACAGTGGGATAATTGGTCATCTTAAAAAGGTGCTAATCATAGTACCAGTCCAGCCAGCTGATGCTCACAAAGTATTGGATACTTTTTTGCTTTTCTTGGCTCAAAAAGATCAACCATTTTGTCTTTTGGTGATGAGTGTTTGGTACAAGTGCAAAGCAAAACTGTGACTGATAACTATAGCATGTGGTAATCATGTGATTCTTATAAAATGAACACTCTGAATTTTTGTAGTACAAATATTTACCTTAAGACTTAATCTGTATGTAAGCATACAGGACTCCTATAGCAAGCAAAATTACATGCAGTTTGTGCATAGAATTTATGTATATATTTTTCTTTGTTATCAATGTCACAAATCTTTACTGTGTCTCAATATAACATGCAAAATACATCTCACAAAAAGTTGAAAATGGCTAACTACTGATTATTATTCACTCAAAGATAATTAGTCATCACTACCAATCCCCCCTGGAGTGACAAATTAACCAAATTTTACTATATTTCATAGTTTTAGAATAATGATGGTTTTGTATGTTTACATAACTACTCAGAACGTTGCAAATATTTCCCTGTTGAACTTCCTGTAATTATTTTAAGACACTTCCAGTGTGATTTGACTGCTATTACTTGTGATTATAGGGCATATTACCTCTCTCGTGAGCAAGCTCCTGTCAGCTTTGTAGAAGGTCAGGTGGTATTCTTTTAAAATTATTTTTTCTTCTGAGTTGTATATGAATTGTCCTGACCTTTCTTGGAGCATGGTTTAGAGGAATGGGGAAAACAGTTATAGCTCTTATAAACTGTGCTTTAATTAAGTTCCGACACAAGATTCAGATCTCCAAAAAAAAGGTTGTATTATGTAGCAGTAATGGAAACCAGGTTTGAAGCTTGATCAGACTTATCTGTCTCACAGCCTCTAATGAACTTCAGTTTGCTCTTTCTCTCCATTCCCTTGTCTCAATCTGTTAATTTTCTTACGTATACAAGTTGAGGAAGTTGAACCATCAAAACCCACAAGTGGAATGAAACCACTTATTTTCCTATATACATGAAAACTTGCAGCCTTCAGCAAAAACACATCCTGCAGAGATGGCTATAATGCAAGATGAGCTATGAAATAAATAGCAGTAAAATTAAATCAGATAAAAACATAAATGTTATTTTTCCTATAAGTATACATCATGCTAAATATCACTAAATCAATTGTCTAGAAAGAGAGTGGTGGCTAAAACTTGCTCAGCTACTAGAGAGAGCTGGAATTCTTGTGTAGTTCAGCTTTACGAGACTGCCATGATTAGAATTTGTTGTGTAAAAATAAAATGTCCTAATATACATATATTGTCATCACTCTTTTATTTTTTTCTTTTGTCTTCCAGAATTTTTGCAGTGAAGTATAAGAGTTTACAAAATTCTGCTTAGCCTTAACCTAGCAATAAAACAAAGTATTTTATCAAAAACATACTTATCTTTACATGAGATGGTGAACAGAGGAAAAGAAGGTGGTAGAGAAACAGTATGTAAGGAAATAGAGGAAAGGGCAGCAAATGAATGTAAATATAGTATACAGAGCCCTAGCACCAGACAAAGCCATGTGTTCATCCACCCTCTTCATGACATCATTCGCCACATCAATGCATTGAATCTTGTGGTCATCACTAAGAAGTCGGCCTTTCAATGAGGTGAAAGATAATTTTCTCCTGTTGTAGTTATAAGAGAAGCCATGGTATTTGAGAGCTTATTACACAGTATTATCTGCTGGTAAAATGCTGACTTTTTAATGAAGACTGCTATAAATAGTAATGTTCTTAATTACCCTGCAGAAGATATAGTTTGTTTCTGATCTCCTTTCTGAGACTGGCAGGGCTTTGAAGGCTTGCTGCACAACATGCCCAAATCTGCACAGTATTAGGCAGTAGCAGTGACTGGTTCTAAAAGCAGCCCACTCATGAGCTTGAAAGAAGAAAATGTGAGGCTTGGGGTAGGGTTAAAATGAGGAAAGTGGGAGTGTCTAGCAGACATGTACAAAATAGCTCTACCGCCAAGGGAGGGAAATGATGGAACAGAATGGTACAGTCATTAAGGAACTTGTGCTGTAACAAAAAGGTCACAAGTAGGTTGAAGTTAAGTTAAATAGATAGATCCCACTTCCAGCGAAAGAGCGAGCCTCCCATTCCCCCTTTACACCAACATGGATACAAACTAGCCATCTTGAAAAATGAATACCTAGAGACTGATACAAAAAGAGTGTTCAGTACTGCAGTGCCATAGTCTGCAGGGCTGAATGAAGCACCTGAGCTCTTTATACTGTGTAGGTCAGGTGTAGTCAACCCCTGGCTCAGGGGCAACATCCAGCCTCTGGTGCCTTGTCATTTGGCCTTTGAGGGGCCTCACAGAACATGGCCCCGAGTGCTAGATCTGGCACACGGGGTAATGCAAGGCCCAATCTGGGCACACAGCCTGGTGGAGGTGGTGCAGGGCCCCGGAGCCTGTTCCCAACATGCAAGGCTGGGTGGAGGTGGTACAGGGCCTGATCCCAGTGCACAGAGCCTGGCAGAGGTGGCACAAGCCCTGGAGCCTGATCCCTGCATATGAGGTCAGGCAGACGTAGCGCAGGGCCCAAATCCTGGCATGTGGGGCTGGGCAGGGGAAGCTTGGTCTGGATCTGGGTGTGCAGGCCTCATCCTGGAGCGCAGTGTCCCAGCTGACTTGTAGACCTATCCCACGCCACTCAGCCTGCGGGGCCAAAAGGTTGAGCGCCATTGGTGTAGGTGCCTCAGAGTGGGTTCAAAACAGTGAGTATTTTGAGAGAGGAGACATGTTGAGGATCGGAGTGTGTCATAGAGCCCACCTTTTTCATAGATTTCATAGACATCAGGGCTGGAAGGGACCTCGGAAGGTCATCGAGTCCAGCCCCCCGCCCAAAGGGCAGGAAGTCAGCTGGGGTCATAGGATCCCAGCAAGATAAGCATCCAGTTTCATTGTGAAGGTGTTCAATGAAGGCGCTTGAACCACCTCCGGTGGCAGGCTGTTCCAGACCTTGGGGGCTCGGACAGTAAAGAAATTCTTCCTTATGTCCAGCCTGAAATGATCTTGAAGTAGTTTGTGACCATTCGACCTTGTCATCCCTTGGGGCGCTCTGGTGAACAAACATTCCCCCAGATGCTGGTGGTCACCCCTGATAAACTTGTAGGTGGCCATCAGATCACCCCTGAGCCTACGCTTTTTCAGGCTAAAGAGCCCCAGGGCTCTCAGCCTGTCATCGTAGGGTCTGCTTCCCTGACCTCTGATCATGCACGTGGCTCTTCTCTGGACTCTCTCAAGCTTCTCCACATCCTTTTTGAATTGTGGAGCCCAAAACTGGACACAGTACTCCAGCTGCGGCCTCACTAAGGCCGAGTACAGGGGGAGAATGACGTCCCGGGATTTGCTTGAGAAGCATCTATGGATGAAAGCCAGCGTTTTGGTCGCTTTACTAGC